CCCTTGCACAAAACGACGATCATTTTTCTAATTTCATAAACAACAGAAGACTGTATTTTTTCTACATAACCCCTCCCCCCCCCGAGTTTAAAGCTGGATCCGCCCCTACTCAGGAACCGCTCAACATAGACTAGGGTTGCAATAGTAAAGCCAAAAAAGAGTGCTTTGAATATGTACAGTGTATATTTCACATGCTTTTATTTACATTTAAGCTAATTTTGCTTAGTCGAAGTATTCAGATTTACAGGTAGGTATATGCCCAGAACGTATGTACGAGACAAACGGCTTTCTCTCGTTTCAAGAACCATTTTACTGGAAAACCCGGCACTTTTTGGCTTCGAACTAAAGTAACTTCCTCGTACCAAAGTCTCCAAGTATGCAGTGTGCCACAAATCACAAAACCCATTAACAAAAGAGTGAGTGATCAAAGTTCTTTCCATAAACTGGTTCTTCTACTGCAAACTGTAGGAAGATTTGAACTAGAACCGCGTGTCGTCGGGCATTTTTTCAAAGTACGCCACCTTGCCTTCCTCCACCCGATAATCGTGTATCCACCTGCTTCCCTTGCGTAAGCTGCCATCTATTCCATCCTTCCACACCCCTAAACCAGATCGGTTGCCGTTAACGTCCCCAACTACCCACCCTCTCTTACCTGCCGGTAGGTAAACCTCCCGTTCCCTGGACCTAGAATATAGAATAGGAGCCACAATGATGTCTTCCCCAATGCTGAACTCGTCGGCCACAGTGTGGCATGAGGAATCGTTGGGGTCGAGCATCCAAAGCGGCCGAATGATTGGCAGCCCCAAGTTGAGTGAAACTCGGGCATATTTCTTCAGCACTGGTTTCACCTGGAGGGGGACGTCCAATTGAACTGCTAGAAGTGACTCGTGTCACCCACCCTCACCTTATTCTGCCTTAAAAGAGCCAGACTGATGGCGGTGTCCGACACCCTTTTATCCCCATAGCTGGTAGGCAAACGGTTGTATCTGACCACCGGAAGGAAAGCGGCCAACTGCAGCCAGCGGATGTAGAGCTCTGGATCCGGCAGGTCTGCCACAGTCCCATTCAGCTCGGAAAGCTTCGTTTCCATCGAGTCAAAGTCCCCCCCAACAGCTCCAGGTATAACAAAGGGGTACCTACAGAAACGCAGAGTTGAATCCTCAACTCCCAACACAAGACTCACTTGTTTCACTACGCAACTCACCCAATGACCCCATAGGTCAAAATAGTGGGAATCACTCGCCTCAACCCCTCCCAACTTGACTCAAATCTGGGCAGGGAAACGAAGCTAGGCGATCTGGGCCGCTCGATGGCGTCGCTCACTCCAAGAAGACTCACAGAGTTCTGAATGCTGTTGATGAACAGCGTCTTGTATTGGTCGGGGTTTATCAAAGACTTCTGGCATTGGTAGTAGTGGGGCATGTCATACGCCGTCCCCAGTTCCAGGTAGAAGGCGTTGAACTTGTATTTGCCCATCAAAGCTTTCAGCTTCTCAACCAGCCAGGGAATCGTTCGGTTGTTTGTTATGTCCAGGACGCCCACACTTTGGAAGTTCTTGAAGCTGGAAAAGGGAGGTTGGGTTGTTCTCATCAACCTGCGAAAGTTGTTCCTACCTAGTTAGAGCTGGAACAGTTCTTCCAGTGGATCTTTCCAGAACCAAGAGTCGCCTTTCGACAGCCTCCGCGAAATTTGGGCTCTCGGTCGAGATGAAGGGCTGGATGGTAAATACCACTCTAAACCCCCTGCGGCTCAGGACTTCAATGGTTTCTTCCAGACTGGGAAACCGGTTGAGGTCCAGCTCGAAATCGCCCACCTGATTTTGCCAGAACTCGTTCAGCAAAACGTGGCCTTGCTTGATGTTGGGCAGCCCGATCACATCGTTGGTGAAGTTGGAAATCATTTCTGGAATTAGTCGGAGTGGAAGGTTTGCCGGTGTTTTTTCTCCAAACTTTTACCTTCGGTGAAAGCTTCCTTGTGGTCGGTGGTAATCTCCCAGATGGGCTCCGTGAGCAGGCTTTCGATAACGTCCGAGTCCTCTTTCTTCAAACCATCCCATAGAGTGTGTTCACTAAGTGAGGTAACGTTTAGCCCCCAAAAGGCGCGTTGGTTTGCAAATATTACCTGAGTTGGGAGTGCAAGTCCGACATGTTGTTCCCAGTGCAAACGCTGTAGTTCAATTCCGGCCCTAAAGTGAACCGATTGACGAACGCAAAATTATCGTATTTCGCCCTCAAGCAGATCGCCTTCTTCGGGTCGTCGGTGATCGAGACATACAACGGTGTCTTCTCGTCCACTATGATGGCAACTCCTTTGGAGCTGATGAAGTACCTTTTCAGCACGTTGCCTGGAAGACCCTGATTTGGCTCCCATTGATTCTCCCCGCCGGAAACTTACCCCATTCGTGGCGCTCCACATTGCCGGTGATGAAGGGACGAAAGTCGTGCGCCCCCTTCTCCAGCGGCCAGGCGGACTCTTGATTCTGCCCTCCTCCATACCTGAAAGTCCGGCGTATATCATCAGCGCCTCCGTAAGAGCCCTGGCTGCTTACCAATGCACCCCCGGAGCCATTTCGATGCAATCCGTGGGTGAAATATGGTCGTTTAGCGCAATCCACTTCAAGTTGTAGCACTTAACACTCTCCTGCATGTTGTAGACGTGCAAGTAGAGCCTGGCGCGGTCCATCCACTCCAAGCAAATCGAGCCATCGCGCCGCTCGTCCTGTGGTAAGCACGGTAGGACTTTGTCGTAGTTCATGGTGGTGCCCAGTCTGGCGCTTACTAGTTCCACCCCTAGACCGACCCTTTGGAAGACTGCAAACGTTTCAACTTCCAAAACTTACCATCGCGGTTGTGGATGGTCATGATGCGTTTGTTCTTGTTGAACTTCACTCTCTCGAAGTAAGCTTTGGCCAGGATTTTTTGGTTGTACAAGAAGTAAGCGCAGCATATCAGCGCCACGATGGTGATGAACAGGAAGACGACGAACACTTTGATTTTGTAGTCGTTGGACTTTTTTTTGCGCATCCGTTGCGGTAAGGTCTAATAGCCCGAAGATGAGCCGTGGTGCTTAGGGGGGTTTCAGCTGCTTACCTGGATTTTTTCCTTTAGTAAGCTGGCCAGGGAGTTTACGGATGTGACGGAGTTGGCGGCCGAATTCGAATCCGAAAAGTCGCCTGGCTCTGGCAGGGTCAACATTCTGGGGCTCAGCACCGATTTTCTCCGGACATTCCGACCAGGACCGCTACGGAAGAACAATTTTATTCAGTCAATTAATCGACAAAGCCGCCTTCTTCTAGAAGTGGTCGATCCACAGAAACACTGCTTCTTCCGATTAAGAACAATGACTGCTTAACACTTCTTGAAATCTCTTATCATATCAGACGCAGCAATTTCAATTATCTTACAGGGGGATTAAGAGCCTCAATCTGACTGGCAAATTATTTTCGCAGCAGCATTTAAGGATTGCTTTTGAAGAAAAACATTTGTACACACACACACCCACAAAATTTGTTTGGTTCTGGAAAAACAGCGGTTTGATGGCAGAATTTGGAAAATTCAGCCTCAACTTCTGCAAAGGTTGGCAAAGCTTGCATTTGGTTTCATGCTCTTAAACCTGCAACAATTGCTTGGCAATCGCTTGAAAAAGCCTTTGCATTCACTAAATGCGAAATAGGTTGCAAGCAATTTATCTTTTTGGCCCAAAAACACCTTGAAACTCTTATCGGAATTTTATTATTAAAAAATCATCGACGCATTCTGTTGACTGAAAATGATGTTGATCCGATGAAAATCCCTAATCCTTCTCCTAATCACATATTACTCGAATAGTCACGAGTTTCCTACTTAATATTTAATCCTTACTATATACAGGAGCAAGCGATCGAAGAAATCGCCGAAAATCGGCGCTTTTTAACATTTCTAACCACCCCAGTTTTGTTCTACTTTCCATATGAATTCTTTTGATTCGTCGCATCTAAAAACTTCTACAGATATTTGGAGCAATTTATTGCGCCACACAACGTTGGGACTCTTAACGGCAACTTCCGGGAGTGGACTAGAAAGGCATTATTGAATGTAATAAAGCATTAATAAACAATATAATTCCACCACTTACGCAGTTAGCGAGACAAGATAATAAATAAACCTCAAATAATATGAAGAAGCGTAGGGGTCTTGAGACAGGGGTCTGGGTGGCACTTTTCCTGCCAGCTTCGCAAAAATAAATTCCAGTTACCATTTCCTTGAGGCGGAAACACCTACCAGTAACACTTAAACCCCAAAATCGCCCCAATTTCCTGTTCCAAATCGCTCATATTGTAGCTATAACTTGCGCCCAAAATGAAGAAAAAATCGCCTCGAACGGAGATTTTCTCGTTTTAAGACCTGACTGATGCATGGTTAGCATCGTCGAATCAGCGGTGTATTTGCATCCGAAAGCGCGTTTAAAAGTCGCATTTTCCTTGACTAGAACCACATTTTTCTGCTCAAAATGCAAATAAAACAGTTCAATAAATAATCAGCCAAAGCCAATTAGCAGGAAAAAAACTATTTGATCAGCATGTTAACAGCGGCTTTTGGCTAATGGGAAAAGCAAACTTCTGAGCTTTCATTGTAGTGATTTCACGTGATTTTGCAGCGGTTTGTCTGTTAATTTAGTGCAGGATGGGGCTCAACATCCATCTGATCCGGATCGAATAAAAAAATCGCCTTTTAAGTCGCAAAGTCATATAAAATTTAGTCTCGTGCATATTGCGTCATTACGGTCAAACAATAGGTAAATGGCTTTAAAATATCGCCAGATAATGCGGCAATTTGCTATGGTAGAAATATCAATGTTTGTTCGAGGATTTGGCTGGGTTTTGTCGACGGAATCGAGTTTAAGTGAAGACCAATTTCTGGCGCAAAGCTTTGGAGAAAATTCACCCAGAAAACTGTTCTTAACTTTGTCACCTTTTAGCGCTCAACAAGCACTGCACTAGAAAAAGTGCAGTTTCCAAAAAAAAACCTTGAAAGTGCCTAGAATTTACCTCATCAGAGCATCCTCTTCCTCTTCGTGTATCTTGATCTTGGTCTCGGTAAATGGGGTTCTTAAGGCCATTTTTCTTCCTCAAAATGCACAAAAGTCTTGTTTTATCACAAAGGCAACAACTAGTGGAAAATCCCAACACCCACGTGTAACTACTCGAAATCGGCGTGTTTTTTAATGAAACTTTTGCACGGTACAGCCGGAAAACATTTCCGGGGCCCCGCCTATAGAACCACTTTACGCGCTTTATTGGCAGAAAAAAACGCAAACTGGAACCCGAGCGAAAAACCGCAAATACTATAAAATGTCATTTACGCAAGTTGGCTGGAATTGTTTTATGTTCGTCTATTTATTTTAATCTCATTAGATCTTATCAGGAGGACACTGATTTGAAATACGTCTGAAATATGGATAAAGCGTGCCCATAATCTTGAGCTCTTCAGATAAAACCTTTATCAGAAACGCTAATCGAATGTACACCATTTAATTCCTGCCTTCAAACCCAGTTTTAATCAATCGTTTTATTTAAACAATGACTACAGTTAAAACAAAAATAGTTAAAACACATGCTGAATGAATTCAAGAATAAAACAGCAGGAAGTGAGGGTTTAAAACACACAACAAACAAATTGAAAACTGATCGTGATACGCCATAAAGAAAGCGCAAGTTTTACCGGAAATTTAACAAAACCTTTGAAAAACCATGCGAATTGTCTTCATTTTTATGTTTCCTCTGTAAAGCAAAGAACTTGCGGCAAAACATGGACAATTATCAATAGTTATCGAGTGTGTAAACGGGATCATTTGCTAAGTTTTCCTTCTCCAAAGGCTGCAACTGAATGATTCAACTTAGTTACAAAAGTTTGCCCATGCAGGAACATTCTTTTGCGATTTATCTGATTTTTGTCAAGAACTTTCAAAAATATCCTACTTCCAATCCTGTCCAATTAGGAACTGCACTCTGCTCAAAAATTACACAAAATGTTTCAATATTTCCGAATTTTTTGATAGTTTTATTGGAGTTTCTTCGAAAAACTAGTAGGACTAAAATCAGCTTTTCTCATGTACTTGTACATGTATATTAAAAGAGTTTTCTTGGATTTCCTTCTGACTCAAACTTGAGGTAGTTTGAGGAGTTGGAGGTGCTTCGAAAACTAGTTAACCGGTTTGTAATTTTTCGCCAAACCCGCCGTTTTTTCACATAGAGTTTAGGAATAAATTAAGGAACAATAACAAGCCTACTAAGTAGGTTCCGACCGATACAAACCGGAGAAAACTGTCATAATTATTTCCTTGGAGGTAATTTATACTTCATGAACTGTTTGTCTTTGAATTAGAACCTCATCATCACTTTGTCAAGCAAACAGCAAAAACCAGAACCAAATCAAAGCGCATTTATTTGGAAATTGTTCAACTTGCGCCCAAACTATTCCCTGTATACCCGGTGTTTGAACGATTTTTCGTTTCTTTACACTTAATTAATTATTTTGGCTCCTAATGAGCAAAGAAATTTCCTGAATTCTAATAACTTTTTCCAATAAATTTCCGGGCATTTCCCCGTTAATACTCACCGCCCATCTCCGATTTCATCGTCGGTTTCTATGTCGCTTTGCGAATTACAGCTCGAAACCTTAAAAGGAAAAATTAATGTTAATACCTTAAGATAAGTTCCTCCAAATGCTGATCCATAGGTCAACAAGCGATTCCCACTTTATAACGGTGGATTAACACTAAAAGGGGGCTGGAGGCAATAAAATTACTTATGGAATTAAAATTTTAAAAGCGTCACCATAACTAGCAAACAACGTTTTACGATCGCATATTGGAGGCTTTATGGCTTCTCGAACCGATTGCTGTATCTAAATCTATTTATAATTGATACCTTTATCTTCAGTACTGGTTCCTTACATGCAGGAACTGTCGATTTTAATGCATTTTTAATAAGCAGCCAATTCAATGAAACTGCCGGTTTCCTCAGGTTTTGTTTTTTGATTGAACGTTTACCTTCTTGTAGGTTTCACAAAACTCACTGAAACTCACAGATCGCGATCGTTTTAAAGCCATTTTGATTAAGATATTTATTTACCAACAGCTTGCGAATCTGTTTGCAAACAGTGTTGAATCTAATTAAAGCAAACTGGTTTCGAGACAAACACGCCGAAAAATCACCAATTAGTTGATGTAATTGGGGAATAATCAGCTAGCAAAGACGTTCACCTTGAGCCTCGAGTGAAGGAAATACATGCGAATATTTCTCATTTTCTTCGGCCGGTGGAAAATTTTTGCTGGATTTTGGACAGAAACATTTTCAGACAAACCCGGAAACTTGTTAGGCTGAATTCCTCACCTGTTGAACCTCATTCACAATCTTCAGCTCGTCCAAGTTGGGCAAGGAAATGCTGTTTTTTCTAGGCATAACACAGTTGCTTCGTTTAGCCGGTTCTTCAGCCAGGGCACTTTCTCCAGCCGTGTTCAACCCTGCTCCTTCATCCACATAGGGGATTTCTTGCAGATTTTCCCTGGATGGGCCCTGGACCACTATCATGGGCATATCGGCTTCACTTTTAACTGCTGGTTGGTGCATCATTTTCCACTTCAACTCAGGAGAATTTTAACCAACCGTTGAAATCTGCATATTTCTATAAACACTCTTATTCACACTTGAACATTAAAGTATGTGGGCGCTAAAACGATCCCACCTTAAAAGGTGCTAATTGAATCGCTCAAGTTCAATTAGTGTCCACGAGTTCGAGTTTTTCTCGCACACTTTCCTAACAGCAAAGGCCTCAAGCGGTTGCACAAATATTGATAAACCCCGTAATTATATTTGGATTTGTTGCCATTTTATTGTTTTATTAGTCGCAAGCAGCGTAATACATGCGAGATTTTGTTTGTGGTTCAAATACAGATTGGAAGATCAACATTTTTATTTATTATATGCATGGCATAAAGATTGCGCAACACACAAAGCGAGAAATCAAAGCTAATTCTTTGAGCGGCACTAATGGTCTTTGGATTAAATTAGTGTTTTAAGGATCAACACTTTGCCTGGGTGTGACGCGGTTTGCAACAATTTCACTAGAAGCTTTATGCACTTTAGCCGCTCTGAGACCCACTAATTTGGAGTTTCCCAATTCCTGGCAAAATGTGTTTAACTGAGTAACTACTGCCCACATGAATGGCCTTAAATGGCACTTAAAAAACATGTACAAGCACGGGGGAAATTAGCTTTACATACCAGTCAACGCAAAATGCTCTTAACTAAATCTCGGAACGCGATGCTTTCACTTGCTTATCAGTCGCAGTTGTAATTAAGATAATTCCAATGATACCAAGTCATGTAAGTTCGTCTACTAAAATTTTGTTTAAACGGATTACTCCACTGCGGCGTCCAACCTGCTGGAAACTCATGATAAGCCCGTGTCCCAATCCTTTATCAGAGTGAGGATTTATTCGCTTCTTCTAATGGGAAAATAACACGCAAAACTCCAAAATAATCCTTTTATTAATACAGTGATAACAAACATTCGAATGTACATAGAAAACACGAACTGAAAAATGCGGTAGAAAAGACTTTATTTTAGACTCTAAGTAAGGAACAGTCTTATATAACAACAAGCGACCGGCCTTGTGCGCTTTCCCATCTTGCGTTGTAAGAGCGCCATTCGCAACCGTCAAACGTGCCATTTTCAATACCCCTTTGCGTACCAATAAGTGCAATGGAAAAAATCAGTTTCCCCCAATAAACCCACTATAAAACAATTCCAACTTACAGCACAGTGTTTAAGTCTTTACTGGCACAGCGGGAGCATGAAAACCAGCCCGTCTGACTACACAATCGATTCAAACAGAATTTATTTCAATTAACCAATCAACTTGACTGCTTATTCTTGAAACGCTATTTTATAAATTTCGTTCACATGGCTAACAAAATGTACTTCCAGGCCTTCTGTTATGAATGTCGGCAGGTCGTTGAAGTCCTTCTTGTTCTCTTCGGGCAGGATAATGCATTTGACTCCAGATCTTTTGGCCTGAAATCTCATCCATTTAATACTGCATGCGGCCCGCGGGGTAATCGCTACTCACCGCTATGGTTTTTTCCTTTATTCCGCCAACGGGCAGCACTTTTCCCATTAGAGAGATTTCCCCAGTCATCGCCAAATCCTGCCGGATCGGCGTATTTTTGGCCAGAGATAGAAGCGCTGTTACTATCGTGCATCCGGCGCTTGGGCCGTCTTTAGGGGTGGCGCCTTCCGGCACGTGCAAGTGCAAATGACTGAAAATGTTACTGCTAAAGACTGCCTCTGAAGACGCTGAGCCAATCACTCACCTAGATAGCAGGAATTTATTTTCCGGGTCTTGCTGGGTGAGGAAGTTCCTTGCCACAGTTAGAGCGATCTTTGCGGATTCCTTCATTACGTCTCCTAGATGCCCTGTTAGCTCCAAGCTGCCTTCAGAGTCCTTATCTGCAGACGGTTGTCTTCGAGTAGTGGTTTCTATGTACAACGTTGAACCGCCTGCAACACAAAATTTACTGGAATTATTAGAGAACACTGGTGCGTTAACTACTTACCCATAGCGGTCCAGGCCAGGCCCATTACGACGCCTGGGGGCGTGGTCGGGTACATTCTATCGTGAGTGAACACCGGCTTGCCAACGAACTCCTGCAAATTATCGGCTCCCACTTGAATAAACTGGGTTTCCTCCTTCACCACCTTGTAAGCCACTTTTCTAACCACCTAAGAAAGACGATAATAAGTGCCTATTTTCCCAATTCCGTTGGTTCCCTTAGTCAACTGCTTACCTTTTCAATGTGCTTCTGCAGGTTTCTAACGCCGCTCTCTCTACAGTAGCTGCGAATAAGGATATTCAAAGCCTCATCTCCGACGTTGATTTGGTCGTCCTTCAATCCGCTGTCCCTCATGGCTTGCGGCAGCAAGTACTGTTTGGCGATAGCCAGTTTTTCTTCGGCTACATACCCGGACATATCGATCATCTCCATGCGGTCCCTAGATTAACTTTATGTGCTGAAATGTTTCCCGAAGACGCATCGGATTTTACCTTAAAGGTTCGGGGATTGTGTCGACCACATTGGCCGTGCAGATAAACAGCACTTTGGACAAATCGACCGGCACGTCCAAGTAATGGTCCAAAAAGTTGGAGTTCTGCTCTGGATCCAGCAGTTCGAGTAGGGCGGAACTGGGATCGCCAGAATAGCCCCTAAAAGCGACAGAAACTGTTCAAAAACCTGCTGCGCTCAGCAGTCGTGTCTGCGTACTTTCCAATTTTATCCACCTCGTCGATTAACACCAGAGGATTTTCGGTTCGCGTCTTTTTAAGGCACTGGATAACTTTGCCGGGCATGGCGCCCACATATGTGCGTCTATGCCCTTTGATTTCTGCCACATCAGTCATTCCTCCCACCGAAAATCGAAAGTACTCCCTGTTCAAGGCCCGGGCAATTGACCTGGCTGAAATTGAATGGAGTTAAACGTTGATTATTTGGGCTTGAATTGAACTTGGTACCTATGCTGGTTTTCCCGACGCCTGGCGGCCCATGGAAGCACAGGATTTTGCCTTGTGTGCTGCCTTTAAGTTGGCTGACTGCGATGAATTCCAGAATCCGCCTCTTGATGTCATCCATGCCGTAATGGTCTTGGTCGAGGATCTCAGAGGCTCTTTGCAAGTTCAGATTTTCCTCGCTCTGTATTCCCCAGGGCAACGACGTCAGCCAATCCAAGTAGTTGCGGGTTACGCTGCAAAAATTCGGTTGCAACCACCAGAAACTAACACTTTTTGCCAGCGGTTCTCACTTAAACTCGGAGCTGTGGCTCTCCAGGAAGTTCAGCTTGTTTAACTCTTCATCTATCACGGCGCTGACCGTTTGCGGTAGAATTTTGTCCTTGATCCTCTCCCGGAATTTGTCTCCGATGGCATCCTTATCTTCCTTCTCCAACCCCAGTTCCTTTTTTATAACTTTTAGCTGTTCTTGCAAGATGTACTTGCGATGGTGCTGTTTCACTTTCTCTTCCACCTCCCTGCCAATCTTCTGCTGCAGCTTGGAGAGCTCCAACTCCTTCTTCAACAGCGACAACGACAACATCAGCCGCTTTGGAATCTGCAACGCATTTAAGGCTGAAGCCGTCCATCCGATAAAATATACCATCACAGTCTTACGTCCATTTCCTCCAGAACTTCTTGTAGTTCCTTGCTTTCCGCCGCTGTTAAGGCGGCTCCTAAGTCCGACAGATAAACTGGATTGTCCACAACTCGCTGGCCTTGGTGCATCATTTGTTGCAAACTATCTCTGAAAGAGGGCAATCGACTGGCTTACAACCGCTTTTTTGGCCGAGAAAAAGCCCTACCTGTAAAGCGGATTCAGGCTGATAATATCCCTGATAGTCTTGATCACTTCTTGAGTCAGTGCCTTTACTTCCTCAGTTTGTCTGAACTTGTTATGCACAACGTTTTCCACTTCGGCCATCAGCAGAGGTTCGGTACCAGGAATCTGGCTTTCCTCTTTAGGGGCTTCGCCCATTTCCTGTGTGATTTTTTCCGTTGGCGCTTTCTCATCGAGGGTCTTGATTTCGGGGAACGATTTTTTTAGGCGATTGACTCGGTTTTTTCGACGTCCCCGGCTCTCAGATTCTTCTGAAATTTTTGGCACGTTAACGGTTGTGTTGAAAGCGGGGAAGTGAATTTTCATTGTTTTCCCCATTTCTACGAGCAGAAATCACAGTGAACTATTCACATTGACCAACCAGTGTATGATGGCAAAACAGAAGCTGAAAAGCATGTTTAGCAATTGTTTGAAAAATATATGTAAGTTATTTCTGATGAAATCTAATGAGTGTAAGGTAGTTCTTACAAATCTCTATAAGAAAAGGTCATCTGAGTGCCTTTTTTTAAAAAAATTTCACACATAGGCGGGTTTTTCTTCATACTAGAGCGTCCCCAATGTAGTTTTCGCTTGAAACTCACAGTACACGCTTATGACGGTTTATTGGGCGATTGCTGCTGCTCTTTACAAACTCACCCTTAGCTTCTTCTTCGAAGTTATCGAAAATTTGGCCCGTGATTTTGATTCTTCTATGCGCCATAACAACTAGACGAAGTCGTTCGCCTAGATCCTGCATTTCATGGATCTGAGCAAACACTCCCACTTTAAAAACATCCTCAACGTTATTAACAACCTAGAATTCATCAAATATAGCAAAGGAATGGGGCGAAGAGTGAAACTGCCAACCTCCGACTCGTTTTCCTCGCTCTTTTTCAGAAAAATGCCACAGTATGGCTGGTTGAGCTTCACTTTCCTTCGAATCAGCTCAATGAGTTGGGGATTAGTGAGTTCGATGAGTTTAATAAATCTGGGGAAGACGATATTTCGACTTATTGCAATCACCGGTACATGTGGCCATACCTGGAAACAGTACAATCATTAAACCTGCCTAATTATTCCAGCTACGAGCAAAATCAAACCTCTGGCACAGCCACAGTGGCTGGCAACTGTGGATTATAGGGCTCCTCTTCTGGGGCTATGTCGTCAGACCCATTGGACTTTGAGCTGAAATAACGCACTGATGTTAGCGACCTGGAGTTGTTGAACAGTCTCGACCTGCTGAAGACGCCATTTGGACTTCCTAAATGCAAAGAATTCACGCTCCTAGCCCGTAGGGCTACACGGGACTCCGCTTTGCAATCACATGAAAATCGCACATAGTTCCTGGCGGTGTTTACCAGTCGAAGTTGACGGGCCAGCTTCAGGAAACTCATTCTGGATGTTTTCGAACAGTAAAACGCTAAAAGAACATTTCAAACCAAGCAAAGTCAAAGTGAAACTTTCAGAAATCGACTGGTTGGGTGCTGCAGAAAATCACAACCTAGAAAAATGAGTTTTACAGTGGCTTTGGCAGGTTTAGGTTAGGATTGCAACAACAGTAAACATTTCATACGTTTTTGGTTTAAGCTGATTTTGAAAAGTGTTTTTCTACCAGTAAAAAGTGCTTGGAATGGCAGCAGATGAAACATTCGAAACGGTACAACCGAGGTAAACTAAACCGAGGAAAGATCGCCCATTTATTGCTGTTTTCAGTTTGAGGAAGACGATGCAGTGGACACAACTGTAGCCCTCAGCACTGCTGGCAGGAAAAGACTCTTCAGCAAGGAGCTGAGATGCATGATGTATGGATTTGGTGACGACCAAAACCCTTACACTGAAAGTGTGGACATCATTGAAGATCTGGTGATTGAATTTATCACTGAAATGACTCAAAAGTATGAAGGAAACATGAGTTAAAACTGTACAGGCAGGCTGATTTGATTCAAACAATTATAGGGCGATGGAAATAGGACGCACAGGCCGGGTGCAAGTAGAAGACATCGTTTTCTTGGTAAGAAAGGACCAGAGGAAATACGCCAGAGTGAAAGACCTGCTCACAATGAACGAGGAACTGAAAAGGGCTAGGAAGGCATTTGATGAGATAAAGTTCGCAGGTAAGCCTGTGGAAAAGTGACTGTTTGCATCAACCATAGTGCAAGTATATTATTACCAACGATAGAGCTAGAGAGAATGGAACTTGAGTAGCTTGCAGTTGTTTTTTTTATTATAAACCCATCGGTTTGCAATTTTTCCTTCACACCCCCCAGTTGCCCTACCAACACAAGCATTTCCTCATTCAATTAGACACAACATAAAAATGAATCTCGGTAGATTTGTGCATGATTTGTTCAGGACTTTTAGAGAATCTGTGCATGTTAGCTGTTAAATTGAACTCTCGAACTCACAGTTCTAATTCTCTTGCAGGCAAAGATGCCCACATCAATTCGTAAAAGCAAATTTGACCAAAGTTTAAAGAAGTCACGTCTTTATTATCGATAAAAACATTGTTTATTTGCAAGACCCCTTGATTTCCTTTCACCCCTTATTAACTATTTCAAGCCCTCGACGGCCCTTCTTGCGGATAAAATCACATCATTGATCCCCACGCCATCATACGAAGCCCCGCATAGAGAAAGCGGCAGTTGCTTTTCCCCGATATACTCCCTGATGCTACGTAGGTTTTCCTGATGGCCCACAATATACTGGGGAATGCAGTCCTTTAGGATATTTACTTGGTAAAATTCAGGCGGTTCGTCTATGTTAAGAATTGACTTCATCTGATCGGTGGCCACTTTCAACAAGGTGCCTTTGCTAGGGGTTTCACCGAATAAGCTTTTGAACCAATACCCGCCCATCATTACCGTTAAGACGGTTTTGTCCGTCCGCTCTTGGTTGCAGGAGTCAAAAATCACGCCCAAAATAGGCAGTTTCTCTCTTGGAGGAACCAGGAAGCCGAACGCCGGGTTTTTTATGTGATTTTTCTTGTACATCAGGTTAACGACACCAACGGTGACGGTTTTAATCTTGAGTAGTTTCTCAGCCAATTGGGGATGTTGCCTTTCAACCATTGAGGCCAAGTGTTTGGCTGGTATTGAGCTTATTATGTGCCCAGAGTCTAAAGTTCTTCCATCTTCCAGATGCAAAGTTGCTTGTTGTGGGGCCCCAAAGTTAATCTCCTGGCATTTGGCCTGCAGCTGGATGTCTGTCGTTCCCCTGCTTCTCAGGGTGGCTTGCAATTGTATGGGAAGCGACTCTATTCCATTCCTGAACGAATAAACGCTCCACTTTTCGGCTTTGGCTCTGGCCGCCAAAGCGCCTGCTTTAGGAAGGTTCTCCTTTGCATCGAACATATGCCTTATCACCCCTTTTATGACACTGCCATACTTCTGCTCATAGGCAAACAGGTTTTTCATCAGGAAGTTCACACTGATTTCCTTCGAGCTTCCAGCACATATTCCACAAATGATAGTGTCGATCATATAATCGGCAATTTCCACCCCGAATCGTCGCTTAGTGAACTCGTAAATTGATTCGTCCTCCACAGGTTTCGACTTAGCGGTAATGTCGTGGAGGATGTGGCGTACAATCGACTTAGAAAACGGTTTTTGAGCGCTAAATAAACTGAACAGCGACGTGGGCAGCAAATGCAGCTCCCCATTGGCGTAAATCAGGCGGCTTTTGGCGGCAGGGTTTGTGCGGATTACCGGCCGAATATCCAGGCCCACACTGAGCTCGTCCAGTAAATTCAGCGTGTTTATTCCTGCAGCTCCTCCAGGCCTGATAGTTCTAGGGCCCTGCTCGAAAACTGCGTTTTTAGTCACTCTATCTGATCTGAGCCAGCCGCCCAAACGTCCCGAGAACTCAAGTAGGACAGTCTGCTCATTGCTCACAACCTTTGAGAGGTAATAAGCGGCTGACAAGCCTGATAGGCCTCCACCCAGAATTGTCTTACTCATTTCAGCCTTATTCTAACCTATTTTGCTACTGGGGGCACTGAATGTTCTGGGGTGTTTTAGAGTGGAAGCACATGGTTTTTTTCAAAAATTCAGCCTCCAGTCATAGATAAAGGCGAGTCTTACTCACTCAGTATGGACTTCAGTTGCAGCGGTGTTGCTTGTCAATTACTCAAAACTGGTCGAGGTGGATGTACGCCATAAGCCAAACAGAGACGGCTATATTGATTTGGAGGTTGAGTTGAACTGGCAATGGTGCGGGACCAAGGTGCCATCCAGCTTTAAAGTCGGG